GCAGTCACCAGGCATCAGCTTTGAAACTGTAAACACATTTTTAAATATTTGAAGGAAATAAAGTGAGGAAAAAGCAATCCGGTCAGCTCATTTCTCTCTCTCTCCTTCTCCCCTCCGTCCTCCCTTCTTCTCAAATATCCCTGGGGTTGCACCTCCCACCCTGTGATGGGAACCGGAGGCCCTGAGCAGAAGCTGTGTCCTGCCCAGCTCCTGGCTGTCAGCACCCACGGCCAGCAGGACTGTTGCAAACTCTGTCACTCTAACAGCTGATAAAGTCCCATGACCTGCTTGTCTGGAGCCTGGGCCTCTGGTCCTGATAAGTTGGGCCTGTCAGCACCGTGTCCACACCTTCTCCTGGCTGGGCCCCCTGGAGCCCACCCCTACTCTGTGCTTCCTGCCGACTGTTTACAGCCAAGCCCTGGCCACGGTGCCTAGACCAGGCCACAGTCACCTTGAGATGATCCCAGGGAGCCAGGCTTGAAGCAGCAGGGTTGGGAAGGACTGTTCATTCAGGATGTACAGTGGGTCCACCAGGGTGGAGATTTTCTGCCTGAGTGCTATTCAGGCTCCTATCTCCAGATTTGTCCATGTGGGATTCCAATTGTACACAGAGGCAGACAGCATCCCAAGCCCTTCCTAAGGCAGCCAGCTAGACCCCAGGGGTGATCTTGACCCCTGGAAGCTATTTGGCAATGTCCAAGGCATTACTGGTTGTCATAACTGGGAGGGGGTGCTACCTACAGCCAGTGGGTGGACACCAGGGAAACTGCTACACATCCTACCTGTACACAACACCCCCAACAGAGAGTTATCGGGCCCAAAACGTCAACAGGGCTGAGGGTGAGAAACTCTGAGCTGGAGGGCACAGAAGCTAGCCTGGGAGTGGGGCCTCTGAATGCCTCACCCAGGAATGCAGACGCCAAGTGTAAGCACTGCCTGGGAGCCCGGGCCTGGGCCAGAGCCAGGCACATCCCACCCTCAGGAGCCCAGGAAAGGCCAGACTCATACACACCTCCCCAGGCTGGCTCCCTGTGGCTCTGCCTGGCCCGCAGGCATCCAATGCAGGTACTTCCCAACCCTGTAGCCTCTCGTCCTAGGAATGTCATAGGAAATAGCAGCTGTTTCCCTGAGCGTCAACTACAAACTGGGCACTGTGCCAAGTGATTTTCTCCCTCGCAGTGTTTCTACACAGCAACTCCGGGAGGGACGGATGGTTACCAACCCCATTTTACAGACAAGGAAACCGAGGCCCAGAGCTATGAACTGACTTGCCCAAGGGTACTGTTATGGTCACGTTGAAGCCTCAAGCCCCACAGCCTCAGACTCACCTTATTTGGAGATGGGATCTTTAAGACCCTATCAAATTGAATGAGGTCCTCAGTGTGGGTCCTCAGCCAATGTGACTGGTGTCCTCATGAAATGGGGAATTTGGACACAGGCACACACACATTCAAACATGAAGGCCGAGACCAGGGTGAGGCTTCTACAAGCCAAGGACTCCAAAGACTGCCAGTGAAACCCCTGGAGCTGGGAGAAATGCAACGGTTTCCCTCAGAAGGAACCAACCCTGTTGACACTGCAATCTTGGAATTCTAGCCCCCAAGACTGTGAAACAAGACATTTCTGTTGCTTAAGGAGCCCAGTTTGTGGTCCTTTGTCCAAAAGCCCTGGCAGACTAATACGTTCGCACAGCTGTCAGGGGTGGGCTCCGGGTGGAGGCAGATCTGTCCAGCTCCAGGCAGCCTCTGACCACACTTCTGTTATTCCTTCTGGGACCGGCACCCTGCATTTAACAGGTCGCTTGAAGTAAGACTTCGGCTTCCAGAAGCTTCATTTGGTTGCTGCTCCTAATACCTAACATAATGCTGCTAAATACCAAATTTAATCATATAAGCAAGCAGCATCCCAGGCTTTGTGGTGGGATGTTTTTCACTTCAGGAATAATTAGTCTGGGTCATTTGGTTCGTAACTACGGTAGTAGATGAGTTATCAGGAGTAGAACCTGGGCCCTGGAGGTCTGAATGACAGGCTCACATTCAAATCCCAGTTCTATCACCCACCAGCTGTATGCTCTTAGGTGAATCACTCAGGAGCTTCTAGCCTCAGGTTTCCCAGACTGTAAAATGGGCATAACAATTGCGTCTGCTTCATGGAGTTTTCATGAAGATTAAGTGAGATATGATGCCTGTCAATTGCTCAGCACAATTCTTGGCACCTCAGAAACTAGCTGTTATTATGATTATTACTGTTACTATGATTCTGTCTTATGGTCTCAGGAAGACTGAGGAGGTGGCTGTTGACAATCATTCAATTTCATCTCCTGGTCCCTGCCCCACCCCATTTTTCAGCACCCTGCCCTGTTCCTCAGAGTTGGGGCTCAGAAGACCCTGGAGAGTCAGGCTAGCGGTGCTGGGGCCCACCCACACACTTTGCTCACAGTTCCCTGAGGAAGTCACATGGGTGATCACACGCAGAGCATGAAGTGCTGTCAGCAGCCCTGCCGCATTCCAGGGATTCTTCAGCTGCGCGCCTGTGATGAGAGCCTGAGCTGCCATCACACAGGATGTCTTCGCCCCAGCGCATGTGGCACTATTGTTCTCCCATCCCATGGCCCCGTAGGCACTGCTAACCACGCTGGAGCTACTGCCACCGGTCCCCCAGAATCTGTTACAAGACAACCATGTTTGCCATCCCGGTGGGAGAGCTAGAGAAACCTCTCAGAAAAGGTGGGAGGGCAGCCAAGGACAGGCATCCCTAAGAGATCTGCAGGCTTCCAGCTCCTGAGAGTCAGACTGGCCTTCCTCCACTCCCCGGGACGCCACACACATATATTGACCTTCACCTTGAGCCTGACACTCTCTCTGTTGGGCAAAGGGGACCCCAAACTGTCTCTTCCCTGGAGGAATCTATAGTCGAGGAGGGAAAGCCAATACATTTTTTGTTATATTTTGCTTTGCTATGTTATGAATGACAAAAGCCAGATCTCATGAAGTTTCCCGCCGAAACCCAGAAATAAGTGAGACAAACGTTTGAAACGGTTGCACCCACTGGGTGCCCCGTCCCTCAGCCCTGCTCCCTTCTGAGAAGCACAATGGCCCAGTCTTTCCTGGTCCATCCAGCCTACCCACACACAGGCACATACGCGTATGTCGTCTGTCTGATTGTACATCTAGTATTTTGCATATTTCTACTCTTTTACTTCAATGATTAAGCTATTCAATTACTGAATTACTAAAATTACTAAATAAATTACCTTAGAGATAATCCTATATGAACATATATTGACTTAAAAGCCTAGCCATGTAACCTAAAGTCCAAACCAGGATGCTTTTGAACATAAAATGGGTGATGATAAAAACAGGGCGATGGACATAAACCAGGACTGCCAGATCAGTATGTCTCAGGAGGAGTCGGGAGAGGTCCAGCTAAAGCCGAGGTGAATACAGTTCAACAATTGAACACACATCTTTCCTGAGTGTTTCACATGTTCTGTAAGCATGAGACAGGAGGCCCCGGGGTGATAGGCCCTGAGCCGTTAGTCCTCACAGCTGAGGGACTCCTGGTGAGATGCTCTGGGGATTCCGAAGGCAGCACGTGTGCTAGGCTTTGGGGGAGACACACACATCATTTTCCTCAGGGCTTTCTCCTACTGTTGCTTCCAAAACTCCAGCGGGTTCCCTGAGCGTTGATTTCAGCCCATCTGCTTGTCCACTTTGGTCTTTAAGAGTCTCCGGGAACCCAGGCTGCAGAGCAAGGACTGGGACAGGAAGCCCACCTGTGCTGGCCAGTAAATGACGAGCCACCGCTGTGGATGACCGCTGTGAACACTGCCCCCAGGCCTTATCCCAGCTGTGCCCCCTCCTCCCCCATCCCCCTTCTGCCCCGCTTGCTGGCCCAATCCTCCTCGGCCTAGGTGGTCTGTCTATCGAGGGGCACAGCCACCTGCCCAGATTTCCAGGCCTCTGTTGCCCAAGAGTGACCAGGGCACTGCCCTCTTGGGCTCCACCTCAACTTGACTCATCATGTGTTCTCGAGCACCTACTATGTGCCAATCACTGGAGTTTACAGTAGTGAGCAGCCAGTGGTGGTTTATACAGAGCTTCCACCCTAATGGGGGACAAACACGAGCACACAGGCGATGAGTATAAGCAAAGGGCAAAGGGTCCTGCAGACACAGACAGAGAGGAGGCCGGACCTGCCGTCGGCCTGGGCGGACCTTTCTGAGGAAGCGACTTTGACGTTGAGTGGTGGGGTTCAGCTGGGCAAGGAGGAGAGGAACAGCAGGTGGGCAGGCCTGCGTCAAAGGAACCTGGCATGTTGGAGAACAAGAGATGGCCGTGCAGCTGGGGCACAGGGTGAGAGGGAGGCCGGGCTGGACCTTGGGGGGAGGGGGCTTCTAGACCATATTCCAAGGGCCATGAGCAGTTAAAGGAATTTAAATGGGTATGATGACAGGATCCAATTGGCCAACCTCCCTGCCTTGGAAAACAACTTGGGGTAAGAAGAAAGGCAAATAGCAAAGTCCTGGACCCCAGGCCAGGGCCTGGGGACGGGGAGAGAGGACCCAGCTCAGAAGGCGGGGCTGAGGGCTCTCCACGTCTCACCCCAGGCAGTCAGCTTCATAAGGACTTCCCCAGCTCACTGGGGGACCATAGCCCTGAGGGTTGGGGTGAGGCCTCGGGACTGGGGGAAGAGACAAGGAAAGTCCAGGGATAGGAGTCTTCCATGACCCTGGGGGGCAGGAGCAGAAGCTGAGGCCCAGCGGGGCTGGGACACCTGGCCTCTCACCAGCTCATGCTCCCAGCCCCATCCTAGGGGCGCGAGGCTTCAAGATGGCCGCTTCTTGTGAGCGGACCCCCCCCCCACACACACACACACATCCAGAATGGAGCAGAAAGCACAAGAGGCAAAGGGACAGTCAAAAAAGGAAAAACACAGCCGCCCAGGAAGGTCAGCTACACCAGGAACGGGCCGCTTTGGCCCCTCACCTTCCCGCTCACCTGGTGCAGACAGGAAGCAGTTAGAGCCAGCTCCAGAATTCTGCAGGCAGGGTGGCTGGAGGAGAGGTGCCCATGACCGCCAGCCATCGGACGGTCGGATTGGTCCTGCAGGCTGACCTCATCGCCCAGGCCCGCGGAAGCCCTTCCTGGGGTCACATTCCGTCCTGAAGAGCCCCTCTCCAAGGCCTTGGATGGCGCCAATGTCTTTTTAGGAACCAAAGGTCTAATTTTAGTGTCCCGGCCTTCGACACCTTCTTGAAATAGCTCCCTGTTTTCCCTCTTGTCCTGCCCCTCCTCAGAGAAGGTGAACCCCTTGCATCCCCGTGATCCTGGTTGGTGAGTACAGGCCTTGTATGGGTTTGGGTGGAGGGACCCGTGTCCCTGCCGTGTGTTCTGTGTGACCAGACCCAGAGGACTCGCCTGGGGAGAGGATAGGTCACAGCGCCCACCATGCCGGAGGTGGGGGGCGGGTGTCCCCACAGCAGCAGCAGCTAGAGCTCACTCCCACCTCCCCCATCACATGGCACATGCTTGTGTGACCCCAATTCAGGTCCCCAATCTCCTGGAAACCGAGCTTCTACCTGTAGGAATCATGTGTCAGCTGACACCTTGACCCAGGAGAGCCTCTATTTTTCATTTTGCAGATTCTGTGCCATTCTTTTATCAACAACAATTGCTAACCCTTTTCTGAGCACCTCCATCTACCCAACAGTCCTCTCTCCACTGCCTTTGTCCCAGCCCTTTCCACAAAGTACTCTACTCAGATTCTTCTAGGCTTCCTAAGCAAGCAGACCAGAGGGGTCAGCCTGCTTGCCCGAGGTCACACAGCACACTAGTGGTGGATGAGGACACCCAGCTCCAAAGATCTAAAATCCAGGTGGCATTCCTGAAAGGAGGCTGTAGCTCCCCAAGAAGTGATGGGTCTGAAAGAGCCGCGTGTGGGTCCACACCCAGACCAAGAAAGTGGTCCCAGGAAACAGCCAGGTGTGTGCATCTGGGCCTGACCCTAACAGGCCCATGTACTCAGCAGAAGAAAAGCTTTCTAAAGGGGCCAACAGCAGGCTAAGCGATTGGTGTCTGAGAAGCATGATTCAGCAGGCTCCCAGGAACCTGCCCACGAGGACCCATTGTCCTGCTGGGAAATGGACACGTCATGAAGGAGAGAAGCCCAAGTGGGTCTTCCTAGGCGTCTTCCTGCCGCAATCAGAGCTCAAGCCCCACATCCAGGGACTCCCTGGAGGGACCGTGGGAGGTGGCAGCTACCTCCTGGGGCCCTGGGGCCCTGAGGCCAGGCTCCGGCGATGGGCTCCTGGCCTGCACCCTGAGAGCCTCGTCATGCTGAGCAGGCTCCTCAGAGACCAGGGTGGGGTGGGGGGAGATGAGATGGATCTGGGGGGGCAGAGGGTCCATGCGCTGAGTCAGGTAGGACGGGCCCAATCCACCCAGCCAGAGCACAGCACATCAGGTACTTGGGGAGCTCTTTCCAACCCCCAAACTGTCTCCTACTGTCTAAATTCATCCAAGCAGCCTGGACTGTCAGGACAGGAAAGTGCGATCTCTTATCTGAGAGGATAGAAAACCACTCTCCTGGAGGGAGCCGGAGCGAGCAACTTCCTTAAATGTCACCAGCCTGCTTGGTGCCAGGCAGGTGGGCACACACAGGGCTAGAGGGAGCAGTGGGAAGAAGGGGGGACATTACTCAGCCAGAAGGGGTGACAAGCCTTGAAATGACCAAAGGGACTATGACGATACTGTACTTCCCGTGTGAATAATGCAGGGGTTACAAACTCAAACACCTTGAAGGGCCAGATGGGTAGCGTAAGGACCCAAAGCAAGCCAGCTTAGCATCTGACCTTCGGCCTAGGTATTGGGGACATAACAGGGCAGGCAGAGAGCTATGGGGATTCAAAGAACCTGTCTGAAGGGAGAACTCAGCGTGCCTGAGTGCTGTCTTGGGGGAATGTACCTGTAGCGTTAGGTACAGAAGTAAATTCAAAATCTTCTATAAAAATCTGATTTTTAAATGTTGGCCAAAAATTTCTAAAAAAAAAAAATTGTTTTTAACTGCTGAGAGCTTCTAACAAAATATGTCTGCGGGCAGTGTCCAGCTATAGAGAGGGCTAGGGAGGAGGCATTTGCAGTGAGATGATGCTTTTCTTGTTTAGAAAGCACATTGCCTTGTATTATTGTCACCCCGACCCTGTGAGCAGACAGGGCAGATCTTCTGTGCCCATCGGACAGATTAGGGAAACCAAGGCCCAGATGAGTGAAGCACTTTGTAAGTGTCACAGAGCAGGGACTTAAACTCAGGTCTCTCTGATCCCAAAGGGGGCGCTCTTTCTGGTCAGCTATGTCAAGGCTGTGTGTTGAGGGAAAGGGGGCGCTGCCAGCAGGAGTAGGAGCCACTGTGCACTTTTGCACCAGGACAGCTGTCCCCACCCTGTTACCTGAACTCCCAGCATCCTGAGAAAAGTTAAAGGTGGGAGTAAAGGTTGCTGATGGGACATGTGACACAAAGATTTCTGCAGCTCCAAAGATGGCCCCACCCTCCCCGGGTCTAGCTGGTGGAATGCAGAAAAGAAGGGTCAGGTGATGGACAGGGTGTCAGTGACAGACAGATTCCAGTGTCAATCCCTGGAATCCAGGCTGAGACCTGCCCCACCTCTGAGCCCTTCTCCCCATCCGTGGGCTTCCCGGAACTCATCTGCCATAGCTCCTCCCCCTCCAAACTGTCCTCACAGCACAGGGGACTGCCAGACTCTTGGGGTTGTGTGGCCCTGAGATCTGAGATCCCCGGTGGGGGAAGGACAGCCCAGGCGCCTCCCGCTGGACTTATCCATCTCATAGGGCAGGAGCAAACTAATGTGCTGCAGACCCTGTCTTCAAGACCAGCCAGCATTACTGGTGTTCTAAAGGAGACCTAAGAGAAGCCACTTGGGACCAAAGACAGCCCTCCCCCACCAGCTCAGCCCACGGACACAGGAGGCTTCAGCTTCTGAACACCCAGGACACACACACACTCTGGAAACAGCTGTTCAGCAGCTGCCCTGACTCTGGACTCCTAGCTCTGCTGCCACCCTCTCTGACATAACTGCTGCTTCCTGGGTGGGGCGTGGGTCCTGTCGTGGGTCCTGTTACTCTCCTCGCTGGCAGCTCTCCCCAGCTCCTGACATTCAGCTGCCCCTGCTCAGAAACACTTGTCTCCAGCACCCACCGGTTTGCCAGCAGGGCCAGACCCTGCTTTCTCAAGGGAACTAAACCCAAACCTCCACTTCTAGGACTGGGTTTTGCTGTTTTTTGGGGTTTTTTAATCCCCGATTGCTTATGTTTTAACATCACACATAAGCACAATGATGTTTGCCTTGCCAGGCTTTTTCTAGAAAAGCAATTGCTTTTTAAATAAAGTAGAATTTTCCCTCCAGCCCTATTGTGAAAGAAGCAGGAGGTATTGGAAAATCGGGGTGATGTGCCCCAGTGCCCCAAAGGGGTGGCAGATACTAGTGTGGTTGTTAGTGGGCTTGAGGAAGCAGTTTCTGGGACTTATCTCACCCCACCTCTCAGTTCTGTCCTACCAGAAGTGCCATTCTGTCCTTGCTCAGGGAATGGTGTAGAGTGGGAAAGAAATACTGCCCCCTGCTGGGCTCGGACTGCTGACAGGGCCACAAACACAGAGGCCTGTCGATCAGGAGTGAACTACTGACCACCTGTTACAATTTGGTGCTTTTACATGCTAACTCATTTAACCCTGACACTAACCTGAGCGTTAGGTATCATTACCCCCTTTTTACTGGTGAGTAAACTGAGGCTCAGAGAGATGAAGCAACTTGCCTACAGTCACACAGCCCTCGATAGGCAGAACGAGGATCTGTCACTGTGCGACTGCAACGTCTATGCCCTTTGCAATGCCCCAGGCACAACTCTCAGGGGAGACAGAGTGAGGGTGGCTCTGGCTACTGTGCAGGTGATCCCAGACAGAAGAGGGACAGGACCTCCTTTGCAGCCTAGGAACGCCCACGCAAGGACCAAGGTCTTTTCTGGGACTTCCCCTGCCTCGCTTGCTGGCTTCAGGCTGAGCCACTGCCTAGTCTTCACAGTCTGGCTGTTCTGCTCCTTCCTAAAGCGAGGACACATCGGGCAGTGTCACCCAGATGAGGGGAGAGAATGAGAGAGAGGGAGAGAGAGAGAGAGAGAGAGAGAGAGAGAGAGAGAGAGAGAGAGACTTCAGCGCCACCTGCTGGAAACATGGTAAGAGCCTTTCCTTTGGACCCTGCATCCCCAGAGGATGTCCTCCTTAGCTGCGGAGACTGGGAGGGAGAAATGACAAAAGGCAGCAAGGGGGCCAGCCTGCTTCTCGGGTTAAGCTCCTATACTTGAGACTATAAACAGGTGTGGGTATTCTCCCTGCCAGAACCTTAGAAAGTTGCAGCTGGAAAGCTCAAAGCAGGAAGCTGACGTTGCAAGGATGGATGGGTGGGCAGATGGATGGATGGGTGGGGGCGTGTCTGTTGCTGAGGGCCAGTTTAGAAGGAAGACTGGCTAATTGCTGTAGCATGGAAGCAAGGCAATTTTCTGCAATTTTCTGGACACTGCCCTGGCTGTTTGAGTCCAGAGAGGAAGAAAGTCAGAGGGGCCAGCTGGGGACTCATGTCATCCCTATTTAACCTGAAATCTTCATAGCAATCATGACCATTAGTGAGCCTGTGTCCTCTGCCACTATAAACCTCCCCCGTATTCCCTCTCCCAGCCTAACTGCCCACAAACTTCCACTGAGAGGGGCCTGGGGTGACACAGGCCTCAGGAACCTGTGAGAAGTGGGCAGCAGGACCCTAAGGAATGTCCCTCATCCTGAATTTGTCTGATATTTTTCCTCATGGTAGATACTTCTTCCTCCAAATTTAATGTGTTCCTATATGTTAGGCACGGCCGGAGGAATGAGTCACGGGAGACCAAAATTCGTCTGTTAGAATTTATTTGGCGTGTTTGAGCAGCGGGAGGTCAGGTTAGGAAAGACCGTGACCTCCCCAAGCAAGAGGGGTATGGAGTTTTATAGGGGGAGGGAAGCAAGGCTGTTCCTCTTCAAAGCTCAGGGGCTTTTCTTTGCATATTTCATCGCAACCAAGGGTTTCGGGAGTGACCATGTCCTCTTGCTCCATATCTCAGTTCCCGTGCCGTCGTCCAGGAACGTTCAGGTCCATTGATCATGGACTCCTGTGGGAAAAATACAAGCCAGCAGGTACAAGCAAGCAGGGAGCAAGACAAGATGGCTTCTAAG